TGTGGGTGTTCTTCCAACCTTTAACACCAGATCTTTGGATAACAAGTGCAGCTTTCTTTGTCTTGACCGGCCTTATAGTTTGGTTGATAGAAAGATCTGACAACGAGGAGTTTCAAGGATCTTGGTCAAAACAGATTGGAGTTGTTCTTTGGTTTGGCTTCTCCACTCTTGTGTATGCTCACAGTAAGTAACCACATATGTACATAATCTTGGTTACAATTGTAGTTTTTTCACATTTGGATGTTTATTACGTGTGACAGGGGAGAGGCTAAAACATAACTTATCAAGATTTGTAGTTACAGTTTGGGTATTTGCAGTACTCATATTGACTGCAAGTTACACTGCAACATTGACATCAATGATGACAGTGCAACAGATACGATTCAACTCTAATGAAGACTATGTTGGTCACCTTTCTGGTTCCCTCATAGCAAATGTGGCACTAACCAGTTCTAGTCTCCGAGCAATGAGATCCCTTGGTCTCAATAGTGCTCAAGATTATGCTCAAGCCTTGTTAAACAGAACAGTCTCCTTCGTTGTTGATGAGTTGCCTTACCTCAAAGTCCTCCTTGGCGAGAATCCAACACATTTTATCATGGTCAAGACACAATCTACCACTAACGGTTTTGGCATTGTAAGTATACATTAATACATATACTTATACTTCATAATCATAATCTTAATTCCTTACTATTTATTTATTTAATCATTGGTTTGTTATATGATGTTTTCAGATGTTTCAAAAGGGTTTTGAGTTGGTACCTAATGTATCCAGAGAGATAATAAAGCTAAGGACAAGCGAGAAGCTAAACGAGATGGAGAAAACTTGGTTTGATAAACAACTTCCATACACAATGGATGATACATCAAATCCTATAACACTTTACAGATTCCGCGGTTTGTTTATGATCACCGGAGTTGCATTCGCTGTCGCGCTAGCAGCACTTGTCATTCTCTGGCTCCGCGACAACAGGGAAGTCTTTATGAACTCGGTTAAACTATTTGTCTCGGGACAAATTATACATTTCACAGGAACTATCCATCCTAGTCCCCTTGATGACCACATTGGTGAAAATGCAGTTCAAATGGCTCAACGGAACAGTAGGAACTGAATTAGGAATAGAACAAAGGTTCCATTACTTGTAAATTTCTTACATTAAAGAAAAAGAGTATAGAATGATGTTTTAGTCTTTTAGACCAATCCATGCTTTGTATATTTGTAATAAACTAGGATTGATCCCAAGTAGTATACCACAACCACATGTCTATTTTTTCTATAAATTCTTTAAATTTAAATGAGTTAGTATAATAATATAGAAAAATTTATATATATTTTTTTTGGTAATAATTGCAATATTACCATATCTTCAATATATAATAATATTGTTTTTGATTTCAATAAAATTAATGAAGATCCGATTTGTAATTTCGGGTAAGAAATTTTAATTTTGAACTGACCCGGAATACATATTTACAAAATTAATCTAATGATTTGAGATTAATAGTGCTTAAAACATTAGTTTTTGGGAATCGATTGTAAAAAATAATTTTAGCAAAAAATGTACTTAAAAATGTATACATATAGATGTAATCAGATATAAAACCATTTTATAATGTAGGTAGTTAGTTAGATGTAAACCGGAGATTATTGACAATGATTACTAACCAAGAAATCTGAAAATCCCTAATCCAAAACAAAACCGAGTCTAAAATACGAAATGTCTCGTCTAATGTACAAATGGGCTTTTACTGGGCCGGGCTGATAAAATCATTGAGTCCATTAAACCAAGACAAACCCTAATCTTCAACCTCTCAAATCTCATACTATATAATAAACTCTGTTCTTTCTCTTCAACAACAACGCCTCTCACATCTCTCTCTGTCTCTGTTTAGTTTTTTTTACTCAATTCGTTAAGATTACTTCTTTGTTCTGTTTTTGTTTTGGGTTGATAAAGTTTTGTTTTTTTGAAAGCAAGTCTCAGCTTCTTTGATTGGGTTAAGGTTTTATAACGATCCAATCAATTTTATGAAAATCATAACTTGCCAAATAAGAATTTTAGTCAGTATCACTCGCCTGGATCTGATACTAATCATGATTATCCAGGCCCTTAATATACTGGCACAATCTTTATAATGGTTTTAAGGCAAACGCACTCTGTCCCAAGACCTTTAATTCCATGTTTTGGTGCAATTTCTTCGTTTGCTAAATTGATTTGTATTCCAATTTAATTTAGTCCTTAGGATTATCTTCAATGATCCTTATATGGGCACATGGTTGGTTTACGATATCAATGATGGTTTCGAATAATCCAATTTATAATTACTCTTTATGAGCTATTCAGTACAATTCTATGACATAACTAATTTTTTAGATGTGTTGAAGGTTTAGCATTGTTGCATATGATTCTTGAATTTGTTAACAAGTATTCTTGAATTTGTTAACAAGTTAAAAGCTCTGTTCTTACTTGTAAATGCTTTAGAAACTTTAATGAATCTATGAAAATAAGTGATTTACAAGAGAGGATCTTGTGTAAATGGGTTATTGTGGATGAATAAGAATCTGAGCTCAGACAAAATACTTGGAAAAAGAAAATACAATGAGGTTCAAAGCGTTCTAATGGACATGGGATCAATGGAGATAACAAAGACGACACTGTTCTTTCTCCATAGATTCATCAGCAAAGAGATATCAAATTCATATATAAGGCCTAAAGCTAATAATATTCGTTCACACACGGGCACAAGAGTAGTTTTCCATTTACAAGAGCTAGATTGATGCGTATGAGGTATATGCAGAGGTTATATGTTTGCCTTGCAGGTGAAGGAAGAACTTGTGAAATTGCTAGAGCAAAGTTAACCATGAGATGAAACTTGTAAAAGCGCAAATCTTGTTTTTGTTTTGATTGATAGGGGTATGTGTAAATGCCACAGCTGAATAATTGTGTCCATATGAGTGAATACAGAGGTCATGTGTTTGCCTTGGAGGTGAAGGAAGAACCTGCAACATGGAAAAGAGCAAATCTTGCTTTTGTTTGTGTTAGACTGATAGGGGTATGTGTAAATGCCACAGCTGAATGTTAAAGAAGGTTTTGGAACTTTGTCCCGCATGAGTGACTGATGGAGAGTTTCTAATGGCAGAAGAAGGAAGCACAAAGTAAGACTTTATTGTCCATTTCAAACAGCCTCAGTACTGCCATGTAGTTAAATTAGTTTCGTTTCTCAAGACAATATCAAACTTTTCAACACTGTGTTATACATATTTAAAGAGCTTCTTCTTCTATAAACAAAGTTAAAACATGAGAAGCAAATGATTTAAGACACTGTGACAAAACACATGAGAAGCAAATGAATGTGTTTCTCAAAAGTAAAAAGACAAAAACAGAGAGTATACTTATATAATTCAGAGGAAACAAGATTTTATGACAATAACTAGAGTAACTTGTATACTTCATTTATGGTTGTGATATTGCTTGAATAATTTCTCTTGAATTGTTAAAAAGCTGTATAGACAGAGTTCAATGCCCATGTGATAGCCAGAGAAGCTTCAGCTTCAAGGAACATGTAAGAAATCATGTACCAATGATGTAAAAGAAATTAAAAGTACCGGTTTTGATTTTGGTTGGTTTAAACTGTAGTAATATCGGTTTAGTTAAATTGTAAGTTTTGGTTTAGTTAAATTGACGATGAGAGAGACACTAAACGTTTCCTTCAAACGGTCATTAAGAAGAACTAAACCGTGTGGACGTGAAAACGTGAAATCAAATCCAAAAAAGTATCCTTTTCAATTACGAAATAGAGAGAGATGAATGAGCGATGTTTCGACCGTTTGGGATTTAGGTCACAAAACAGCGACCTTTGAGAAAATCTCTTTCTTTCTCTAATTGAGCCGTTGGAGTCCTTTTTCGAATTGTGAGAATTCATATATATAATATAACAAATGCATTGTGCGATCGATCTCTCAAGGTCAGAAGATTGTGTTGTGTGGTTCTTCTTCTCTCTCTCTCTGCAAAGGCGACGATCGAGAAGATGACGAAGGAACTTAGAAACGTTTGATCGTGAAGAGATCCAAAACCCTAACTAACATGTTCGTAACTCTGAACCTGAACCTCTCTTTTGTTGTTATACTTTGGGATAGATTGGTTTTATCCTTGTATTGAATCGGATTGATTTTGTTGTTTAATAATCATCTCGCTCTGGTTGGTACGATCCTTTGTTTCAGTTTCAAGTTTTGGTTTATCGAAACTTGTTTTGATTGAAATTTCCGATGCTTGATTACAGCTTTTGATGATTACGGATCTGTTGATCGAGCCCTGTCTGTCATGTTAGATAAGTTTCTATCCCTTTTGTTACTGTCTGAATTTTATTACTGTCTGAATTTTATTTTAGTTGACATTCTTTTTTTGTGGGATGCAGATATGCAGAACATGGGAATGGCTTCTAAAGCATTGTAAGTTCTCTCCGGGACTGCTTTCAGAAACTGCCTAGGCTGTGTTGTAAGACTTCTTAGTAAGTGTTTCTATGAAGCTTGTTTGGAGTTGAAAATAAGGTACCGTTTATAATTTAGTTTGGACATCGTTGAAAGTATTGTTTGATTCTTTACCGGAGAGATTGACGTATTGTAGAAATTTCTGCATATTTTGGTCGGTTACAACGTTCTCTCTTTATCATAGTTATGATGCAGATTGTGATTCCTAGACCTGATGCAGGTTATCTTTCGAGCTGCAAATCCAGGGGAAGCTAAGGGAACAATACTATATATCCTCAGAAAGCAAAGCAAAGCTCTGGTTCCTTTCTCAAGTACACCCTTCTTTGAAATTTCCAATCTTTGAAATTTGTTGCCTGTGTTTGATATTTGTTTATCATAGTTATAGGTAGTTGAACCTTGTTGAAAGTATTGTTTGCAGTGTTGTGAAGCTTTACATGTGTGCTTGATTCTTTACCTACAGGTTGAGGTATCCACTCCTCTGTTGAAGGTTCTTCTCAAAAATAGTTCTGAAGACAAAGCTACCAAGATTCTTTGTTTCTACGACTGTAGATTCTTTGTTTCTATGACTATAGATTCTTGTGTATCCTGAAGCAGAGGTTGAAGGTCACACAAATGCTTAGGTCTTCTTCTCTATTCCTCTTGTTGCTCTTTTTTTTTTATTACCCTTTACCTATTTATCCTAATATATATATAACTGTCGCCACTTCTCTGTTTAAGATTCTTCTCAAGTGTAGGCCTGAAGACTAAGCTGCCACGAAGGATTGTTTTCTCAAGATGGCTCAATGGAAAAAACCTTCTAAGTAGAAGAAGCGAAGTATGGTCTTTTAGTCATGTGACTTACCTCATCAAGCATGTATCTTCCCTTCCTGAGTAATTCAATTGTCGCTCTCTAGAAATTAGTAAGCTCGCTGCAAGAATCTTTTCTGAAACCTATATGTTTGTTTGATTGCAGAAAAAGGTGGAATTGTTTGCAATTGCTCATGATTTGGATCAGATTGAGTTAGTCGTCTGGTTGCCTAGTTGTAAGTTCTTTAACAGCATTGTCAAAGGGACTCATGATTGGGAGTAACTATTATTTCTTATTTTGAGGGCTTTACTTACTTTGTCTCAAGAAATAAACAGAATCTACCACAGTAAAGAACGAGGACAAGCTGGAGTTCAGCTTTGAGGGATATATTTTATTACTCGCTCCTCCTTGTATCGGATTAATTTTGTTGTTACTATCTCGCTATGGTTGGTACAATCGTTTTTGTTTCAGTTTCAAGTTTTGTTTATCCCAACTTTTGAATTGGAATTTTCGAGTTCTTGAAGCTGGTATGAACTTGTTTCTTGAATGTTAACTGTACCAAGTATTAACTCTACCAAGTTGTATGTATGTTATGTTCAGCTATCATGGACTGAGTTTTTAATGGATGATGATTTTGCAAATCTTGACATAGTTTTATGGATGATGCTTATGCAGATGGATAAAACTAGTGTTTGCTTGCAAGGGATCGATCCTATTAGATCAGTTTCTATATCTTTTACTTAATTTTACTCTTCTAAATTTTGTCCATCCTTGTATTTCGAACAAAGCTTACATGCGTTTTTGTGGGATGCAGATATGCAGAACATGGGAATGGCTTCTAAATCATTGTAAGATCTCTTGACTGCTTTTATAACAATGTCGAAGCTGTATTGTAAGATTTAGAATAAGGAGGAGCAGTATTCTGAAGCTTTACATGTGTCATGTGTGTTTGATTCTTTAGCTACAGATTGAGGTATTGTAGAATGATGCAGACTGAAATTGTAAAGGTGTATTGAAATTGCAGGATTCAAAGGGAAGCTAAAGGGTTACTTGGTCATGTCTTCAACAAAATCAAAGGTTATTTATTATACATAAAAACACTTATTTTCTATCGAAGTATTGAGCCTTTGGTCTTTTCAAGCAGAGCATAATTATATGCTTCAGAAAAGCAAAACTTTGGTTCCTTTCCCAAGCACACCCTTCTGTTTTGATTTCCAATCTCTATAATTTGTTGGCTGCGTTTGATGTTTGTTTGTAGGTGGCATGAGTTCATTTCACGTTTAATTCTGAATCTAAGTTGTGTGCGGATGAATTGTTATGGTTAGCTATTTTGTTAATTTTGTTAAGCTCCTTATAAGAAGTTTTTATGTATGTTATGTTTAGCTATCAAATAACTTGACTAAGATTTTGATTGGATGATAATTTTGTAAAATTTTATGGATAATGCAGATTGCAGATCAGTGGAATGGCTACCAAAGTATTTTAAGATATCTCAGGGAGAGGCTTTCTCTATTTATTATAGTCTATTTTCTTACTGTTATTTGAACTCTTGAAGGTAAGTTGTTCCAACTAATTGTTTTGTTTAACTGTATAGTTCTGAAGCATATTAGAAGATTGATTTTGGTTTATACTCATTATAGGAAGTTATGTTCTCTTATCAAATATCTCTATTCCTTTTGTTTCAGATACTTCGAAGCATAGCTTTAGGCTTCTATCCAGACTAAGGTTTTCATGGATGATGATTCTGCATAACACTTGTTTTAGTTAAGTTTGTATAACCTTTGAAGCTAAGCTGTGCAGATGAATTGTTATGCTTAGATGATTAATTTTGTTTTAAGCACTTTAGGTGATTGATTTTTGTTAAGCTCCTTATAAGAAGTTTTATGTATGTTATGTTCAGCTATCAACTAACTTGATTCCTTTTGTTTTAGATACTATGAAGTATAGCTTTAGACTTCTATCTTGGACTAAGATTTTGTAAAATTTGATGGATAATGTAGATTGCAGATCAGTGGAATGACTACCAAACGATTTTAAGATCTCTCAAGGAGGGCGCCTCTGTAATGTTCTCTCTTTGTTTTAATTTTAACTTTTGCAGTATTCTGAAGCTTTACGTTTGTGTTTGATTCTTTACCTAGAGATTCTGCAAATTTTGGTCTGTGATGATGCAGATTGTGATTTTATCTCTTTATCATAGTTATGATGCAGATTGTGATTCCTAGACCTGTTAATGAAACTACAAAGTTGTATTGAAATTGCAGGATTTATAAGGGAAGCTAAAGGGTTACTAGCTAGGTCATGTCTTCTACAAAACCAAACGTTACTATACAAAAATACTTATTTTCTATTAAAGTACTGACTCTTTGATATTTTCAAGCAGAGCATGCTTTAAGCTTTGTCTTATGCCTTAGAAGAAGATGGCTTTTGCGGTGTACAGAAACATTCTAGGATTTTTGTGCAAAGCTCTGCTTCTTTCTCAGGTACGCCCTTCTTTTTTCGATTTCCAATCTTTAATACTTGTTGGCTGCGTTTGATTTTAGTAAGTTACTTGCATCTTCCTAATCTAAACCTGAACCTTAATGTCTTTTGTGATTCTTTTCTTATATTTAGGGATACCATTATACTCTTTATATCGGATATATTTCTTTGTTAGCATCTCAGGTTTCTCAAGGCTTACAATTTAAGGTTTGGTTGATATGAGAACTGAGTATGTGACTGTATAATTTTTCTTAGCTTGTTTTCTTTAAATATACAATTCCGAAGCACCTTTGATGATTGATTTTGTTCAAAGCACCTTATAAGAAGTTTTAGGTATGTTATGTCCAGCTATCAAAGAACTTTTTTTGCTTAGATACCATGAATAATATAACTTTAGGCTTCTACCCTCCTAGACCAAGATTTTGATTGACTTTTGCAGATGGGTAAAAACTACTTCATATACTCAAGGGAGCAATCCTAGTCGATATTAGATAAGTTTCTGTATATTTTTTTGTATATTTACTCAGAATTTGGCTCATCCATGTATTTTGGAGCATAACTAACATGCAGATTGCAGGAAATGGTAATGGCTTCTAAGCATTATTAGCATACAAAACGCAAACGGTGGTAATAATCATCATCATTGTCTAGTAATACTCCAAACGCAAGATTATAAATAAACATAGAATGATAGAAAACAAAACGATACTAGACCATAGACAAGGATGCCTAAGACAAACATTCCTCAAAAGATTTAGACACCGAACTCCCTTTTGAGAATCCATTCCATCAACAACAATGCTCAAGAGGATTCAGTCCCTTAACTAAACCGAACTACGTCTATTTTTCTCAACAACAGCGTCCTTTAACCCCAAACGTTGAACTAGCTACCTGTGACGGTTTCCCCAGTACCATGTCCAATACCATTTCTGCTGTTCCTAGAGCCTAAACAATTTCAAGAAACCAATAATCATGATAATGTTTTTAAGTAAGGTTTTAGAACATTATAAGCATGAATCTTTACTTACCATGGAAAGTCCTCCTCCTTCATGCCCAGCTGCCAAGTACAAGTTTTGTAATCCAGGCACAGATCCTATTACTGGCTTCCCATCAGGCACTACCATCAGTTCAAAGACACATTCGTTCAGGTTTTGTGATCATTCCAAACACCGGTTTCAAGTATCTATGACGCATTAGAAACAAGAGACTTACTGTAAGGGCGCAACCCTACTCTCACTTTCCTGTTACGGATGAAATCTTCGAGCGAAATATCTCGTAACTTGGGAAAGAATTCTGCTGCACGCTCCCATATGCACCGGATGATAAACTCATCAGCTTCAGTGTCGAACCCAACAAATTCACGGCTGCTCCCTGAAATTAGAGATGCATATCATGTGTAACTGGTATACATTTTTAGCATACAAGATAAGAAGAACATGGTTCAGGAGTCAAGTGGTGGACATAAACTCATGATATTAAAAATTACCAAGAATAAGGTTTCCTGTTGTATCCATTGTGGCTGTCATCGAAATAGATAGCATTCGTTCATCGACATCCAATCCTGAAAGTGAAGCACTTTGATGATTCGCATAACCAGCCTCCATTACCCCATGATTTAAATGGAACGAGACAAAATTCTCTACCACAAGTAGATGCCCCTGCAAAGTAATAAGATGGATAATCAAAAAGTAGTATATTTTCAGAGTTTGCATATTCTGGAAGCTTGCAGCGAATTAATTCGAAAAACAAAAGTATAGTTGTTACTCATAAACAATAACTTTCAAGAACTCAGCTTTCCAGAATTTCTAGACCTCTTGGATGGCATTTTCTCGAGATTGATAACGGGGGTAAATGAAATGGAAGAATGAGCAATCAGACAAGAGTTCAAACCTTTCTTGGCTTCACAGGAACGTCCAGCGAAATGTTGCAGTCTTTAAGCAATTCATGCATGAGAGTTCCACTCCAGCAACCAGCAGCTACTATAGTAGCCTTCTTACCATACAAGTTGCGTTTAGAAGTCTTAACACCTGTAACCTCCGTACCATGCCCCTCAGACCTGAATCAAATATACAATGAAGCCAGCCTCTTAAGGTACCAAAATTAGGATGTTGTGACGGTAAACTAGACACAAATATCTCATACAGTTATGAATATTTATTTCACATTGGTCCCTAGATTACAGAAAGCTTTTGTATTTCTGGTTCAGAAGAGTTCCGATTCAGCTAAAAAGAAGATAAGCAACCTTATTAAACCTGTAACAGGTTCATGATAGAACTCAGCATATCTTCCTTCTGTTGCAAACTCTCTGTTTCCCTGAATAACTCAAACAAAACAGTTAACCACAAAGCAAAGAGTCACATGAGACATTCAACTATCCAGGAAAAACTAGCAACCTTCTCAATATAAGCAACCGCACGATGAGCATCCAACTGCGAATCATCGGGAAGGAATGCAGCCCCGGAATCATCATCCACAAGAACCGAAGGCTCTTTTAAAAACAAATCAGCACCAGACAAATATTCAGTTCTTAACCCAGCTTCAGATAGCTCATGAACCTTTCGTTTCAGAGCAACACATTCCTCAGAGGTCCTTCCTATTAGTAAACTTCCTGCAGATGACACCAATACACTAAATTATAACATCTACAAGACTATAACCATTTTGTTGAACACGATGAAAATAACACTGCCAAAAGAACCAAACTAATAGTGTATAGAACCCAATTGGCTAGGGAACTATATAAGAATCAAGGCAATGTCATTAGATAAACAAAGTGAGCCAAAGAGCTCCAAATTCACTAAATCTTAAACAAATACGAAGTGGGTATTCATAAAAAAACCTGTCTTTTTCCAACCAAGCAACTCTTCAGGATCAAGACCTTCATCGATTAAGCTCTCTGCAAGGTTATGCCAAAGTTGATGACTCCTCAAGGTCAAGTCCCATACATCACTGCCTGGTTTCTTGTGTGTCATCCATATATACCCCTGCCCTGAATTCCAAAAACCACAAATTTCAAGTTAAGTCAACTCAATTCACTTCAAGAGTCCAACTTTATTTGCAAAATCCAAGAGGGTAATGTGATTTCAGATCAAATTTGTTACCGGCACCAGTGGCACCAGAGCAAGGGACGGCTTTATCAACAACGGCAACGGATAGATCCGACCCGGTAAGGAACTGACGGGCTATGGTTAGTCCGATGATCCCACCACCAACAACGACTACATCGTAGGAGCTGCGAGAAGCTGTAACACGAAGTAATGGAGAAGCTCCATGTCGGGTCCTCCGAGTAGAGGTCGGAGATGAAAATGGGTAGTTCTTCTTGGGTGTTAAAAAGGTTGGTGATTGAAAGACAATGGAAACCATTGGAGAGGTTTTGGTATCGTAAAGATTTCAACTTTCAAAAGTCAACCGTCAAAATTACAACTTTTTTTTGTATCGTATCAAAAAACTCTTTAATTAGCAAAGTGGACACTTTTAGTTCTATTTATGTGTAATTAGTGCTTTGTCACATTTCCACCTAAGTAAGTAAGTAAGAATCATCTTCTTGAGTTATATGAGAGCAAAATGAGTTTATGTTCCAAATTGGTGAATAAGAGTGATAAATAAGGAAGCTTTTAAATGGAAATTTTGATTAAAACTTTTACTTTATTGAAAACCTATAGAGAGCTCACCTAAGATGAGCATTCACATTTTGATTTTGCTAACAAAAGTTTAACATTTAACTATTTTGGATTTTGGAGCTAACGACTAATTGAAAAAGTGTAGACCATCAATCATTCTTGCTCTTAAGTGTGTGTAGGGGAGCCAGGGACAATGTGAGCGCATGTATCCTTGAGGAGAGGAGGGAAGAAAGGATTCAATGGAAACATATGAGGCCAGCAGTTAGCATCCAAGGTCGAAAACGCTTTGCAACATGCGGCTTGAACATTTTCGAATTTTCCGGAGAAAATTGATTTGGAGATTTCGAGCACACATCCTTCCACGCTGAAGAGAGACGACCAACATTTTACAAGATCAATAGGTGAACCTGGTAGGAAGAATCCTGGAACCGTTGGTGGCGTTTGTGTATGAGCGACTCCTTGAGTGGCAAAAGTGGCAGCACAAAGGGAAAGGATTAAGAAGATTGAGACAACAGTTTTGCTTGCCATCTTTCTTGTTAATTCTTTCTCTACCTTTTCTGCTCTTTGTTTTGTTTTTTTACTTAGATGCTTGGGATGGTTTTTGATATTGGAAGAAACTTAGAATTTATAGGATTAGGAAACAAAGAGTAACATCAGCTTTAAATCTTGTCTCAACATGTAACTCATGTGTTAAAGTTTTGTGTATTCAATTTTATTACAGTAACTTGAGTTGACTTGTGTAAATGTAGTGTTTTCTTGTTTTCCAGTTTTGAAACATAAACTATGAAACTAATAATTCTCATTTGACCCACCATGCACTCGTTGTTAACTTCAGTTTGGTTTCAACTCTAAACAATCACCAGTCAAGGTAGCCAAACCGGGTTAAGGTCGTATGGTGAATACTTGATAATGGTATCTTAAGATAACTTAGTTATGGTGCTCTATTGGAAAGTAATAAGTATCTACTTACTGAGAAAGAAAGAGAGATTAGTATTTAACATTTTGGATATGCTTGCAAGGATAATATAACTCCATCTTGATCTTTCACTCTTTTATGGAGTGATCCATGTATAATATTCAGTGGCCAAAATTATTATTTCCAATGGTACATAAGCGGTAGAATTAATAATCTTCTTAGTATTACAAACATGATGCTGTCTTCTCACCAAGTTCATCTAATAATAATGTTATATTTCAATGCAAGCCTTACGGCATAACATTATGATGATGGCTGAATAAAACTCTATGCATAAACAAGAAGCACATCATCTGTGATCTTCAAGTTTCTACTGTTACACCAAACGCTCCCAACTTCTAAAATGAAATAAGTGGCATTGCCGTTTTGCTACAATCAGTCCTGCGAAGCTCAGAATCTGTCATCTTGCTAAACTATTGACCAAGATTGCAAAAAGAACGAGGAGAAACCCACTGTTTGTCACAAATATGGATCGCGGTGATCCCGAGAAATGTACCCTCTGAGCTTGATCTCTGCAAAAAAACCAAGACACATGTCAATGCAACAAGTTTATCTCCATTAACTACATGTGACATGAGATTTCTAGAAAAAGAAACCAAAAAAACTCCAATTAAACTGTCTCCGGCAAGCACTAATTACATTCTGCAAACCTTACTTTTGTAATGGTGAGAGCCGACCACAATATATGGAGTTTCCAGGAACGGAATTCTCAGATGAGTCCATGTCAATCTCTGGATTAACCACACTCAAGTATACTTCTTGGCCTAGATACCATGAGGCGAGATTGTCTATTCGAAGGTTCCACATGCCAGCATTGTCCAAAGAAACCAAGATGGCCGTCCATGCACCAGGATACACCTGTAAACAAACTAGCTGTTTAGAATTACATAGAAAACAGATGTAACATTTCAGTTTCAGGTCATAAAACCTGCGTAGTAGATCGAGCAACCGCATCCCCCTTGTTGTATATACTTCTGCTATTTTCTGTCCACAGACCAAAGTCCATCCTTCAAGACAAACATCATTCTTTAATCTTACAATCACATTGTCCATTATCTTTCAATGACTGATCATATAAGTGGATGTAATATAACTAATGCAACCTTACCCAACAACAAAAAATGCATAACCATCCAAGTGGTAGCTCTTAACAGTGGTGTCACTATTCTGAAATATGATTTCCACGAATCCCTTGAATGTGCCGTTTATGACAGAGGTATCAACCCTGGGATGCCTATTCATCGGTCTTTTTGGGAAATCCAACTTGTATACCCCTGAGATGTTGTATTGCTGAGCAAGCTTTAGGGGTGTTGAAGGAGGTAAATACGATATACCATTAAGAGTGGCACGCCATCGTCCCTCTATCATCTCTGGTGGTCGGTTGACAATTACATACACATCAGTTACTGTGATCTGGCCATATTTGAAAGACCCCTGAGGGTTTGGGCGGGCAGCCCCAGCCGAGAGATTCAACCTATTAGCCATTCCATCAGCAACAAGTAAAATTGCATTTTTAAAAAGGAGTTCCAGATTATGCTTACTACAAAATACATTCTGCCAAGATATTTCCTAGTATGAAACATAATTATACATTGTTGTTAACAACCTTAAAGATCGAGCTTGGTTCATTGAGAAAGATGCGTCCAACTCAACAGGAGGATCAGGGAGTGGACCTAAAGCTGGTCCTTGGGAACTAGAGTAGCGCAAAATAGCGACTCCACTAGTTTTGACAGATGTAGCAAACCTTGGGCTGGCAACAATGTAGTAGTCATTACTACCAGATTGATCCATAGTGACCAAAAATGAAAAAGATTGACCCACATGAATATCCATGTTCGTATAATTCTGCTGAACTGTGTAAGACCCTTCCGTCTCAACAAGAAATAAGTTATGATTCTGTATTCTGAAATTCAAGCTGGTCGCAATCCCAGAGTTGTGAACACGAAAACGGTATGTTTTTCCTAGTAACAATGAAGACATAAACGTGGTCAGAGCAGGAGAAGCCTCAAACTATAAACCAAATCAAGAATTAACAAAAAGGAATACTTTTCAAGGATACCTGGTTCAACGTTTATAGTCCCAAAAGGAATCCCATTCGAAGCAAGCTCGCGAGTGTAAGGAAATGGTCCAAAACCATTGATGAGAATACCATCTGGAGTTCCAAGGCCTTTCTTACCCTCAACATCCTTCCTCAGCTTCTGATTCCACAAAAAAATGTTTGAGATGTTAAGCATAGCAAAAGAGACAAGACAGTAATACTAAAGAAAGGTTATGGCTTCTAAACCTTATGGCTCTTAGTATACCAATCACTGATAAAGAGAGTAACATCACCATCCGGACGAGCAAAAGGAACCGGAATGATATCTCGATTATTGATAATAATCCCTCCATACCCACCTGAAGCTCTCTGAAAATTTATAGATGGAAAATAAAAGAAACTCCCAATCTGATCTTTAACTTGAAACTCATAAGTCCAATTCCAACCAGCAGGAATTGGACAATTAGTTCCTAAAACACCATCTTGCCATGAGTTTTTCCTTTGTTGTATTCCATTCCTACAAACCACTAACATAGTTTTAGACCAAATCAAAATCATATAGATACTTTAGAATAGATCAGAAGAAAAGACTTCATTACCGACCATGTAAGAAGCAATGGCTCATCAAGATTATTCTTCACATTCATAACAACATTCCAATTCGTAGTCACGTTTAGAACTGGTCCAGGGAACTGCCCATTTATCCCAATTACCTTGAAATCGAATACACAAGCAACAACCCAAAACACACGAGATCTCAAAAATCGAAACTTTTCAAATGGGAATCTTAAAAATCGAAACTTTTTAAATGGGAATCTTAAAAATCGAAACTTTCCAAATTTGGAATCATACAAATTGAAACTTTCGAATTGGAATGAGATGATAACTATAGAAAACTGAAACCTGTTGACGAGTGCCGAGAGGAGAAGCAGTGAGGTAAGAGACAGTCCAATCGAAGAAGACATAAGGGTCGGCGGCTAGGGTTCCGGTGACCGACAAGAAAACGACCACTGATATGCACCATAAGTGCAGGGGACAGTACCGCATTGGATCACTCACTCTCTCTGTGAGTCGAGCAGTGAGTGAAACTGGAGAAAACCATGTGCAGAGATTGGAAGAAAGCTTTAAACCGTGTCTGAACGCGATTACAGTAGTCAGCAGAGGCGCCAAAAGAGAACATACTTTGTTGGTCCTACTTCTCCACAAATTTCAGAGATTTTATAAAATTGCCCAAAAACTTTAGGAAAAGTGTCAATTTAACCCCCTCCCAGTCTCCCACACCTTTTAATTTGAATTTTACAATTTGAGTGTTTTAAAAGTAAAGCTTAAGAGTTAAGACTTGAAAGAGTCAACATTCTGCACCCTAAACGTTAATCATATTCAAAATAGGTAACATGATCTGCTCAATTAAAGTCTAAAGTTTAGTTTTTTCGATAAAAGAAGTATAAAGTGAGTTGAAGAGATTTGTGACTTGTAACTTTGTGAGTGTGAGACATTCTTGTTTTTGAATATGAGTATTATAGATATGATTTACTTCACCATATGCTTACTTAAATATAACTAACAAATTTAGATCAAAATCTTAGGTCTATTATCACATAAATCACATAAATTGTAGAAATGCAAATAAAATTAAAACAAAAATATGTTTTGCTTAGTTTTTTCTTTCTATTTCTTTTGTTTTTCCTTCTAATTTTCTGTATTTATATCAAATCAGAAATAGAAAGTTATTACACTAGAGTTTTCGGAAAATAATTATTACATCATACATTATATAAACAACTTATAAATAGTGGATAAATTACATGTTTTCTGGATTAAAGATGATTAGAAAAACATTGTTATAATGATTACCCTCCTTTAACAAATAACGGATATTTCATTTTCGTTGTAAATCAAAGTTGGGTTAGGTCGTCTATGTCATGGAACTCGAATTCCGGGCATCCATACCCTTTCCATTTCTATGGATGGATGAAATTCAACATGTTGAGTTACCAGTAGCTAAACACCAAAATGAATCATATTGCCGTTGAATTGATTATATTTTTAGGTGACATTTCAGTTTAATTTTTTCTTTACCAATGATTTTAATATTGTTCTTACATAAAAATAAAAAATAAAAGTAAAATTAATTACAAAAAGTGGTATAGTTAATAGCATTATATAAAAAAAATTTTAAGTAATATAAATTTTACTACTTAACACACATCCCTATATTAGTAAAAGAAAAGTACAAAATAATATTTTAGGTCGGGTTAATCTCTACATTAGTAAAAGAGAAGTACAAAATTGAATATAGAGTAGGTCAAAATTAAAAAAATAACCCGATTTTAACCATTGGATACTTTAAATTGGATATATAATTGGGTTTGGATTTTAACATATACAAAATTTTGTATAAAATAAATATTCAACCTGTAACACGAGATAATGTATTATCTCGTAGTTAAATTGGGATGTATGTCAATATTCGCCGATGACATTTCAAATTTTTAATATTGTTTTTTACACCCAAAAATAAATATAAAAAATACGAATGAGCACCATAATTAATAACATCACATGTAAAACTCTTAAGAAGATTTATATAGTTTCACCGTAAAATCTATTCTATGGAGGAATCAGAAGTAGAATCGTCGAGTAGACTTCCACAGTGGTTATCAGGAGATCCTGTAGGCTTATTAAGATGAAGCGGTTCTTTGAGAGTCCAATGCATTATACTCGCCGTCAATGTAAGCATCATCTTCTGATTCACCTGTTCATAATAATTTTTCACACACATAAATATACAAATCTTTTGATAATTGTTAAGTTGATTAGGTTTTAATGTGTACCTCAATTATGTCTTCAGGGAGTAAAAATATGGAGCAACCAAGTTTCCTTGCTATGCTAATCACGTACGTTGCATTCATCTTTTTCTCTTCATCTGTATATTTTAAGCAAGTGTTGTCCTTATTAACTTATAATGTTCAAACAGAAACAAACAAAGAAACAGATTAGTATATATTAACAGTTCATTACCAGTTACTCCGTTTGTAACAAGACTCCAGTTTACGGATCTTGGCTGCACTGAACTCAGCAGCTCCAAGAAAAAGATCCCATCGGCTAAGCTCTTGTCCTGTCAAATTCAGACATCATTCGTTTACTCACTCGTGTCTGGTTCGATAGACAAACCCGACAAAGCAAAAGGCAGGAGAGTTACTTACCCTGAAACTGTACATGCGTGTTTTGCATCCATTGTTTCTCACTTTAGCATTTGCCCATTCCAATATATCAACGTCTGTTATTTCTTTGCCGTTGGAGTGGAATCTCAAGTTCTTAAGAAGTTGCAGGATGTTGTATCTCATCAATTGCCATAAGTATGCTGGAAGAGGTTTAAGAAGACATCATTATAATTAATTTGGTTCATAGAAACACATAAATCATAGAATTGGAAAACTTACCTAGTATGAGTTTCTTGTTTCCTTGCACAATATCGTTTCCAGCGATGTTAACCAGAGAGAACTTGAGCTGCTTCCCTAGTTTCACAACCTGGTTACAGTTTTCTACTTTCTTGAATGGCAATTTAATGGGAGGCTTGCTTGCTACTTTCCAATTAACAATGCCTGGAGACACCTTGTCTAGTGTCTGCAATAGTATCCACCTGTTGAAGAACACGTAACTCGGTGTTAGATATACATTCCACACTCTATTAACCATTTCTTATACTCAATGCTGAAATACTAACCCATCTCTGAGATCTTCAAACACGTTGTTTATGTATAGCAAACTATCAAAGCTGTTAATCCAAAAGCGGAATGCTTTTTCTTCTCTTGAAATTTGGGTGTCATCAGCTAGATTTTCCAGAAAAGATATCTGTTTTGTTTGTGTTGAAAGACCGTTCCTGCGTGGAAATAAAAACATAGTTCTAATCTGTTAGACCAACACTAAAGATGTTTCCTATCATGTTTGAAGTGTATCTTTCACCTGTGCTGGAATATATGTGCCACAAAAGCAAGATTAAGATTTGGGGAACCTTCAACAATATCCTTAGCCGTCAAGTATCTCCTACATCCCATTCTGTCTGCATGTTCGAGAACAAGTTTTGCTCTCTCAAATGAGCTTTTAACTGCAAAATGTGATGGATTCTTGTGCTCTGGTGCTAGGACATTCAGTAAATTAGTGTAAGCTTCCGCATCCTGCAGAAAACCATATCATCAGCCATATAAAAGAGTCTATAGAACATAGAAAATTTTGGTTAAACCAACCACTTAAGAACTCATAACTTGACATCAGCCTATGAATACCTTTACATCAGAGGAGAAGTTTGTGACCGTTTTCTTGTATTCAGATTTTTTCAACTGAAAATTCATCCATCTCAATAAGATCTTCTCAGGTGGTAAACTCATCAGCTCTTCCACATCCTGTTAATCACAAAAGTTGAAACAAAGTCAATTTCTTTTCACAAAAGAAAATTGTCTTTGGACATTTCTTTTGTACAACAGGTATCAAGACAATGAGTGAGTTGTATTTACCTTGCTATCACCAACCAATTCCACCAACTGGGGAGTTTTCTTCAAGTTAAGATCTGCTAGTAATTGTATCTACACAAAACATTCACAACAAAGATTAATAACACATTCACCATATCAAAAAACAAACATATACCAGTAGTAGCATTACAGCCTCACCTTAATGATTTGAGAAATCACACCGAGCACAAGATGACGCTGAAATTAAAGAAACAGAGAAGTCTTAGTCATAACCATCACCAATATTTCAAGATACTAAAACAACTAATGATAGACTTAAAAGTTAAGAGTTAAGAGTTACAGATTCAACATTACCCTTCCTTCAATAATATCTTGAGTTCCAATATTAACAACAGTACACCCAATAGCCTTGGCAGAGTTTAAACAAAGCGTATGATTTTCATTTCTCTCCCATGGATTAAGCATACTCTTAGTATTAATCGCTCGTTCATCAATCGTTCCAGGAACAGCCACATTTATAAGCTTACTACATCACATCAGAAAACAAAACCCAATCATCATCAAAGTTAAAACATTTCAAGAATCATAGAATCTAAACTAAGAAACCTACCAAAGCAAAACACCATCTTTCGCAACTTCGAATAGATCATTCGAAGACGGATTAATCGGTAAATACTTATTTAAAAACTCATCTCCAGATAAATAATTATTAATATGAGCAACATAAGAAGACTTCTCAGAATCACTAATCGTATGCAATAGAGTCGTCGTAGCTGCTTTAAGAAACGCAGAAGACGAGTTCTTCACACCGCTTCCTATTATAGCGTTCACATGCGCTTGAAGATTCAAATAAATCTACAATAAATAAACAAAAATTAGCGATTTAAAATTCAAATCACCATGGAAACACAAAAGAGATCTGTAGAGTTTTTGAAACTGACTCTTAGGTAAAACTCGAAATCGACTTCATCGTTCAAATTGGGATGAAAATTTTGGATCAGCGTTGATCTCTCTTCGTCGCTTAAGTTTTGATCTCCGACTAGTTTTGATTTCCCCATCCTTGACGCGAGGTCTGATACTATAAGCTTACCACTCTCTCTCCTCATGCTCGTGAACTATGGAGATCGGAAGAATCAGATCGGAAACAAAAAAAAAAAAAATTGAGAGAACAAAAATTAAACGTATACGTACGTGAGATTTCAAACTCCGAAGCTCTACTTGTGTGAATTGGTTCTGTAACCATGGATCCGATACTAAAATCCCGACGAATCCTGACATTTTTTTGTTTCTCTTTACTCTGATCGATCTCTGAAGCGTACGTGAAGAAGAAGAAGAAGCTCTGAAGCAGAGCTGGCAGTGAAGAAGAAGAAGAAGAAGAAGAAGAGAAAGGGAAAATTCAAATTAATGACGAAAATACCCCTTTGAGTCTTTTTTGCGTTTTTTTGAAATTTCGCAATCAACTTTTTTATTTTATTTTGGTGTGGGCAATAAAACTGTGACCTGTGAGGGGCCGTGTTTGTCGTTTTGAGATTTTAATGAATTTACGGTTTTGACCTTTACTTTCAACGCCTTTCTCGTGATCGTGGAGAGGGTAAATACGGGATTTTGAAGTTACGGCTATTAACTCGTTGGAGCTGTGTATGTAACGGTCGTTTTAATTAGTTTGGTTTATTTCATCTGAAGGTGTGGATTTATTTAAAAGTTCAAAGTGAAAAAAAATTCAAACTTTCTTTGACTTTTTATAATTTCTATCTGTCACTATTTTTTTTTCGTTACTCTTTAGTAAATTATTTCTATATGCACCACACAAAAAATATTACCAATGTAAATAAATATATTTATGATTTTTTTTTCTCTATATAGAGAACACGAGAACTTCTTTTTTTTTTTTAAGTTAAACAAAGAAAGTTCCAATTCTGAAAAAAATCACCTCAATTTTTTCTCAAATATATTTAACACTATTATAATATATACTAGGGGTAATCAGTGTACGGCAAATAATTTTACTGTTATTTTTGTATCTATTAATTTTATATTTTTAATGTTAAAAATTGTTATTAAATTATAGAACTTTAACTTGTACTTGTTTTCAAAATAAAATAAGGAATTTTACGAATATATACTTCGTTGTTGTTTATTGTATGTCCAAATAAATTTTACTATGTGAATTTTGATATTTTACTAGTAGTTGTGGCTTTTTCATAATATATTTCTAGTTTTTTTTTTCTCAACCACACATTTATTAAAATATTACTCCATGATTGGTAGCTCAAACAGGAGGAAAGTTGTTTACAAAAGTACCTTCTAAATTAAGAGATCTGGAAAAACGAGCAAGACAATCTTATTTTGAATACAGGCACGAGAAATCTTAGTTAAAATTGTTTAATATATTTCTAATTTATATTAGAAAATGTAATATATATATATATATATATATATATATAGTTTTAGTTTCACGTATGAGTGTGATAAGGCAGGGTTATTACTGGCGTAATACCTCTCATATAACTCGTGTTACTTTAAACTAATAATATATTTGTTATAATACTATTTATATAAACTCTAACACACTCTGTTACATGGACTACAAGTAATATTTTTGTAATGGTGAGCAGATAACACTTATTAATTTTACCAATCGGCATAACACTTATTAATTTTACTTCTAGTACTCTTCTTTAAATAATATAGATATGTGTGCGCAAAGGTAAACCCTAATATTTAGATGCATTGTTAGTTACAAAAATTAAAGTATCCAAAAACATAAACATCATGGTGGCAATGGACAAATACAAAAAAAAAAAGTTTATTAAAAATAGATTATCAATGCATTAAAGTTATTTTTATATAATTTATAAGTATATATAGTATGATTTCACTTGATCATTTTTCTAATAAAAAACTTCACAAGTTTTTCAGTGTGATAAATATATTTTTTTTACATACCCCAACTAAAATCAATATTTTTATGTGTGTTAGCCTAACTATTAATTTTATGGTAAAGTGAAATACTCATGATCGAAAATTTTCAATTTTAAATGTAGAAATTAAAAATTGTCTTCCCTAAATTAAGTAAACTAAAGCGTGTTGCTACTGTTTTTATACAAGATGGCTAGTATGATTTTTTTTTGAATCATTAAAAAACTCCGAAGACTTACAAACCTTTACACTTTGATAATGCAATTTGGCTTATAGAATAAGCATAAAATCACTACTTATTTTTGTTTTGTGAGCGTTCTGCCTTTATATATATAGTGAGAAAATATTATTTGTGTGATCAGGAAACAATTCAGATTGCTTTAACTCTAGTTTTTTATCTGTCAATATTTTTCTTTATTTATTTCTGAAAAATATTTTCTTTACGTACAACACAAAGAAAAATACAGTATTTTGATTATGATAGTGTTATATTTTCGAACTTAAAAAAAAAACTATCTTTTTCATTTTACAAACTTTAAATATTTAAATTCAATTGATACTAAGATAACAAAAAAATTGCAATCGTAAACCCTACTAACCTAGATGCATTGTTAGTACATACAAAGTAACTAGAAACATAACATCGATTTTCTAGTGGCAAATAGACCAACCAAAAAAAAACAATTTCTTATTTAATGTACTGAAGCTAATATTCAATTGGAATTCTATTGTCAATTATTTTTTATAAAAGCATGGCAAGAGAAATTAGTCAATTACAACGCCTTGAGAATATACATATATACAGTATATGTAACATATGACAAACTCCACCATATTTTAGCAAATTAAACCATGTCAAAGTGCATATGAATTATGAGTTATGATGTTTTTTGAGTGATTAAAATTTGATCAGATTATATATGAAATATAACAGTGTAAATAGTCTTTAACTATTATTTTCTACCCTAAGTTATTAACTACGGTAAAACATCTATTATTAAATAACCACAATAATATTTTTTTGAATTTCAGTCTCCCGTTAGTATAATAACAATTAACATAATTTAGTTAGATAACCTTTTGCATGAAATTATATAGTTTCATCAATATCATAAATAAATAATTATATATATTCATCAATATATATATATATATATATATTAACAATTCACTAAATATCTGAATCTAGTGCTATTTTTTCTTATGAATTTACATTTTTATTGAAGACCATCTCTAATACTTCATATTGCATTAAAAAAAATTATGTAAAGTATGTGATAATTTTTTTTTTAACATGTCATTGGTCCAAGAATAATATATTTTTTCTAACTAACAAATCGTATTTTAAACTAAATTGTTTGAAGAAATTAACAAATATATATCTAAAAATTGAATAAATTTATTCATCATATTAATACTTCTATAAATTAATAAAATATTTTAGTTACTATGTATATACCGCTATTATATAAGATAACGTGTGTATAAATTATAAACAAGAACAAAATATTTGATTGCTACAGTGTACTATAAAGCTACACCTAAAAGAGGATTTGGAAATAAAGCATGTGCCAGACAATAGTGAATGAGAAAGAAAGTGAGATTTTGTAATAATTGAGCCAATATGAAGCAATCCTTAGCCATGCCTACTTTTATATATGGCTTTCTCACTTCAACAAAATTAAATTATATTTGGTAAGCAACTATATACATGTCTTACCTTGAATTTAGATTAATTTTATTATGTGGTATATATAGATTAATATGATAACTCAGACTTTTTTTTCTAAGTAGGCAATGAACTTAATAAGAATCATAAAACACCATTATATCATTTGGACCCCTCCATGGGTTTCATCCCACATGGTTGCTGATCTCAACTACGACGATTTCCATAATTGAAAACCTGATTTTGTGTATCATACTAGAATATTAATGATCTAAAACTATAGCTTAACAACTTTAACCAAACAAAAAACAATTAATCTAGTATAGTATTGCCAGTTCATTTACCTAGATTAAACCTTCATAATAGTGTTATACGATAACCAACATTGATAACCGAGTCTTACTTGATAAACCAATTCAATTTTTATATGATGAATGGTTTGTTCTAATTCTTCGTTTAATAACAATTAATATTACAACTTAATCAACATGGCCTTCTTAGCTCAGTGGTAGAGCGCGTGGCTTTTAACCACGTGGTCGTGGGTTCGATCCCCACAGACGGCGTTTTTCTTTTTCTGTTTCCAATTTATATATTTTGCTTTTATGATTTTATCAATATCCTCGTCGTCGTCTTCTTCGATTCTTTTATCTTTCTTCCTCTGCTTAAACCCAAAACCTAAAAAAATCTCAAAATCCGAAAGTATGTTACAGTCAATTCATCTTCGTTTCTCTTCAACCCCATCACCATCTCCTAGAGAAACTCTAATCATTCCATCGATTATTTGCTCTATACCTTTCTCATCTTGTTCGTTCCGTCCGAAGCAAACCCAGAAATTGAAGCGTCTGGTTCAATTTTGCGCTCCTTACGAGGTTGGAGGTGGATACACAGATGAAGAACTGTTCGAAAGATACGGGGCTCAACAACAAAATCAAACTAATGTGGAGGATAAGTTAGATCCATCTGAGTATGAAGCTTTGCTTAAAGGAGGCGAACAAGTCACCTCCGTTCTTGAAGAAATGATTACCCTCGTATGTGTTTTGGGTTTTGCTTCATCTCAACTTGCTTTTGTTTCGTTTCTCTAAGCTTGGCATTTCGTCGAACAACTTATAGGCATTAAGCTTTCGTTTACTTACTCGTTAGTTATTTGAATAAATGGTGATCCTTTTGCGTGTGTCTACGTTTCTTTTGAGCTATGTTTTGTCTGGGTTTGCTTCTGTGTTGTTTCCCTAAGTTTGGCATTTCGTCGAACACCTTAAAGGCGTTAGGCGTAGTGGTTTTCTGGGATTATTCATCACTTTTTTCCAGATGGGTTTATGATAAATACAATCTTCACACGTTATTTGTGGACTTAAGGTTAATTCTTGGATCTGTAATAGGCTATGTGAACTGCTCTGATGTTGTAGTTGGAAGATATGAAGATGAATGAAGCATCTGAGAATGTTGCTGTAGAATTGGCAGCACAGGGAGTTATAGGAAAAAGAGTTGATGAAATGGAGTCAGGATTTATGATGGCCCTTGATTACATGATCCAGCTTGCAGACAAGGACCAAGACGATAAGGTAAAGCAATTCTGCATGTTCCCTCTGAATATACTTAAAAGAAATCTCCTCTAAGAATTGACCTGAATTTGCTACACAAAGGACCAACATTTTTAGATTTGGTATTCAGTTGCTACTCAGATTGCTTTTGCGATGTAGTGTAGCAATATTTTACATATATGATATATCTTGGCCATTAGTTCTGCAACATATAGACTGGAAAACTGATAAAAGAAAGACATTTTTTTCTTCTGGATTTAGAGGAAGTCTTTACTAGAGGTCGTCAAGGAGACTGTTTTACATATATTCTCTGGATTTTAAAACTCTTGTTACCTTTGCCATGAGTTCTGTAACATAGGCTGACCAAAGAAATTGACTTTTTGTTCTTGGATTCAGAGGAAGTCTTTACTAGAGGTCGTCAAGGAAACTGTCTTATCTCATCTCACTAAAAAATGCCCTCCTCATGTGAGTAATACTCTCATCAGTTTCTTCTTACTTCCATGACTTTCCAGTAGCTTCAAATCATGATTTAATCGTTAGTGCTACTGTTATTTAGGTCCAGGTGATTGGTTTACTCTGTAGAACCCCTAAAAAGGAAAGTAGACATGAGCTGTTGCGTAGGGTGGCCGCAGGTGGTGGAGCTTTTGAAAGTGAGAACGGTACTAAACTTCATATACCCGGAGCAAATCTTAATGACATAGCTAATCAGGCTGATGACTTGCTAGAGGTATTGTGTTTGTTTCGGAATATATATCTTTTTATGCTCGAGATAGTCTGAGAATGTTGCTAACAAGTCTGAGAAAGATTTGCAGACTATGGAAACAAGGCCAGTTATTCCAGATCGAAAACTACTAGCGAGGCTTGTTTTGATCAGAGAGGAAGCGCGAAATATGATGGGAGGAGGTATACTTGATGAGAGAAATGACCGAGGTTTCACAACTCTGCCTGAATCAGAGGTTTGTGAGACAAACTATTACCCCCATTATGCTTTGTTTATGAAGTGAATTGAAACATTGGAATACAAATGACTTATCGCATGATCGCCAAACAGGTGAATTTCTTAAGCAAACTGGTAGCTCTGAAACCTGGAAACACTGTACAGCAAATGATCCAGAATGTAATGCAAGGGAAAGATGAAGGTGCAGATGATCTAAGCAAAGAAGGCGATTCTTCAACCCAAGGACGAAAACCGAGTGGATTAAATGGAAGGGTAAATATGATCAACTCACACAGTTTTTGTTAAAAGAGAAGACTTTTCTGAGTAGACAACCAAAGATTGTCCGTTTTCTTACTTGTTAACCTACTTGATGCGATCACAGGGAAGCGTCACAGGACGAAAACCATTACCAGTAAGGCCAGGAATGTTTCTAGAGACTGTCACAAAGGTAATGTTTTCTATATTTTGTCAAACCAGCTTGTCCAAACGGATGATTAGAGTTGGTGTGAGACCATTGTGTGTGATGTTTAAAATCTCATCTTGATAGGTATTGGGAAGTATATACTCAGGTAATGCCTCTGGTATAACAGCACAACATTTAGAATGGGTAAGTTTCTTATAACAACACCAAAACTTGTTTCTCTGCAATTTCATCTGATCTCTTTGTTTAACAGGTTCACCAGAAGACCCTCCAAGTTCTTGAAGAAATCGCATATTAGTAAAACGTTTTTCGTAGTATATAATTGTAATTTGGTTATATATCAAAAATTTCAATTCAACTTTAAATTAAATATAAAAAAATGTAATATTGGTACAACATAAAATATCTTTAACCCATTCAGAATGAATGAGTGAAAATGTAACTTGTCCCATGTGTACAAATTTACCCATTCAGTTAGATAATAATGATAACAAATACTATTGTAACCAAAATTTTATTTAAAAAAATCGTGAATGAATAAATTGATAAATAAATTTCGTAACGGTTTAGTGAAGACGACACGTGGAAGAGAGACAGTAGTCCTATAGGGTAGGAAAAGAGAGAAGTAAATGAAAAAGGTGGGATGAGTAGGGGCACACTCTCGTAAATAAACGGAAAAGTAAGGGTAAATACCGGACGCGAAAGCAATTGTTATATCCATTTGAAATCCTCCTCGTCAGGGGGTTTAATAACACGAAACGATTCCGCTTCTCCGCTTCCATAATAAATATCTCTCTCTCTAGATTGTTCATTTTCTCACTCACTCACACTATTTTCATTTTCTCTCTAACCGTAAACGAATCTTTCAAGCTTTTTTTTTTCCCTGAGATGGCTCAAGAAGATGTTACTGCTGGTGGTGCTAACGGAGGAGCTGCTACTACGACGGTGGAGAAACCTGTTGTTGGCGCTACGACTACGGCCTTCGCTGCTTTCAAGACGACGTTGATCGTTGAAGCTCAGAAAGTTAGCGACGCTGTTACGTTCTACAAATCTGCTTTTGGTGCGATCGAGTCTGGTCACAGTGTTTACCCTAAGCGTAAGCTTGACCAAGAGCTTCCTCATGTTCTCTCTTCTGAGCTTAACCTTGTTGGTTCGACCTTCGTTGTTCGTGATGTCGCTACTCTCTCTGGTTTCACGTAAGCTTTCTTCTCTCTTGTTGTTGTGGTGTTTAAACGTCTAGATCTCCTCTTTTTCTCCTCTGTTTTTGGTTTTTTGAGGTTTTTTATTTGTTTTAGGGTTTGATTTTGTTGTAGATCTGGATTTTAGGTTGTTGTATGAGAAGATATATCATGTTCAGTAGCTATTTCTTCTTCCTTGAGCATGAGTTTTGTTTGATTCGACTCTGTTTCATACGTTGAATAGTGCGAAATAAGATGATACTGCGTTCGTTATACTCGTGTAGCGTTTGATTTCGTTTTAGATCTGGTTTGAGGTTTGTGTTATGAGAAGTTTCTGGTAGTTTAAAACGCTTAGATGTTGTTTTCATGGATGATTCTGCTTGCTTTGTTCATTTTGTGGTTTGATTTTGATTTTTTGTATTTTGTTTCACGTTGAACAGTGCGAAATCGGGAGGTGCTTCGATGACACTAACACTCGAGACTGACGATGTTGAAGCAGCCGTTGCGAAAGCTGTATCCGCCGGAGCTGTGAAAGTGGAGGTTACGGAGGTTGAGACTGAAGGAGGTGTCACCGGCAAAGTTACTGATCCGTTTGGTTTCACTTGGATCTTCTCTGCTCCGGCAAAGGAGATCGAGAATGCCGCCACCGAGAACAAGGAGGTTTAACCGTCGGATCTGATTTTTTCGTCGGGTTCTGAACAAAAAAAAAACTCTGTTTATCCTAATTTCTGGTTTATTTTGTCTTTTGTGGATTCCGGTTCGTAGTTAAACCGGATCGAGTAGCGTTAATGACTTTTTCTCGGTAGCGTTTTAAAATTTCACCCCTTTTGACATACTCTAATTATGGTGAAATCAGATATTATTAATCTCGGGTTTTATATGTTTTGTTAATGATTTTGCTTCTCTTAATTATCGTGCTTAGGGTAGAAACGCGTCGTCCACATTAAATAAATGGTTTAGTGGTTAGATTAGAAGGAATTAAGAAGAATAATGTGTGTTTCGTTTGTTGTTATTGTGTCAGAGTGTTTGAATACTGTGTCGGAGGTAGTGAAACCATAAAGCCTCTGGGTCTGTGCTTATTGGTTCTGTTTTCAAAATTGCCCTTACGTGTTGTTTGGGCCTTGTGAAGTTTTCAATTGGTCCTTTATAAATCTTTTGACTAGTTTTGGTGGTTTTTACCCATACTACGCCATTTGGCAGAAAGTACGATCTTATTATATAGAAAAAGAAAAAAAAAACAGACACGCAAATTGAGTCACTGACACAGACAAAGCTTATTTATGAACAAGTTGGTGCGTTGGGTACGCCACAGACTTTAGGGAGACCAGAAGCGAGTTCAGGATCTACACCGAAAGAACCGAGCCATGGTGAGTTTTTGTAGCCACAAAGACAAGCGAAATCAGCGTGTTGTAAAGCTGTACAGCAAGGCTGTGTCGGGGTCGTTGGGTTCTCTTTGTTCACAGCTGGTTTACACTCATTCAACTCGTCTTGTGTCATGCCACAGAGGTCAATCGCTACTGACATATCGACTAACATAACCATTATCATCACCGTTGTAGCCATAGCCGCTGCCTTCTTGCTCGCCATTTTGATCTTCCTCTTAGATGTTTGTTTTGTGTTTGTGGTGTAGAAGTGAATGCTCATGAGGTTGTATATATAGTAAGTTATAGGAGGAACCCGTGAACAAAGATTGAATTATTCGATTAGTCACGGGGTTGTGTTCTTTTGTATATTACTTTTGGGATATGGTATTTGTCAAAGAATCATAGCAGTCAGGATTCTTATCAAATTATTATCCGATTTACACGGTTTCCAGCCCACAAATCTTTTACTACTAATGGAAAAAGAAAAATTCCACTATGTTTTTTTTATATATTGCAACTGGCACATTGTTTCATTTTAAAAAGTTCTCTAATTGAAATAAAAACATTAACAACTTCCAGTATACTACTGGGCCTGATTTGAGCCCAACTAGGAGTTATGTGTTTTTTGTCTTTTCTTGGGCTACCTCAAACCATCGTAGCCTTTTGAGAAGTTTTTAATTCCGTGAATTTAGCTCTTACTTATCATCATTGTCAACAACAATTAGCTACTTTGAGTTTTTAATCACAAATTAGCTTACACAAAATCTACAACGATAAATAATTAGAGTTGTTCGCCGTGATTATACACATAGAGAAATAAATAAAAGAAGAGTAATATGTGGTAAATCTAATAAGATCGAAAAAAATTATCTGTGTAGAATCGGCTTTACAATAATTTTCATAATTTGTAATGATGATTAGATCAAGAGTTATAAAAATGAGGATATAAAAAAATTGGAACCAAAAAAGAGTATGTATAAAAGAGTTTACTCTACATTTCAGATTTTGACCCAAGAAAGAGCAAAAGAGTAGCCTTTGACTGTTTGACCTTTGTCATTTTTAACACTTAGCTAGCCTTTCCCTTGGTTTACAAAAAAAAAAAAAAAAAAAAAGCTAGCCTTTCCCTTCAGTCTCTGTGTTGAATTAAAAATCCAAATATCTAGATTCTTTTTACTCTTCTATTTTCTTAAATTAAATATATATTTTTTCTTTTATTTGATAATTTAAGTTCTATAAATTAGTCATAATTATGCTAAGGATTTTTATTTTTTAATCACCATCTCAGATTTGTCCTCAAATGTTATGTGGTGTAAGTTGTTCGATACACAAGACAAAGCTAGACCATTAGCTCTCAAAATTGCAATTACTACTGTTTTTACCGGCGATCCCTGTTTTACCTATATGTTGCGGCGATCACTGTTTTACTTTACCTAATTTACAATCATTTTTTATTGGTTACCGTTACGAAAATAATTAAAGCAACTCTTTTGTTATGTTTAACGTATTATAAAGAGCATTTTGATACATAAGTATATTTTTTCATGTTATTGAAGTTTAAGATTTGATGTTATCCTGTGAATCCATAACTATGTGATGATTTTCTAAATATATACTGGAGTTTTATTTTATGTTTCGTTATTAGAATTTTGTATTTTCCAATGTGTTCCGTCGTTATAGGAATACTTTGATAGTGATAGACTAGTATAAATAAGTTTTAGGTTTTGCATAGAGAAGCACAAATTAGTGTATTGTGTGTTTGACCAGGTCACCTATAACTTAAGTGTGACCTCGATCTACAAAACTAGAAACCTAACACGATGGTGATGTAACTAGCATTGGTCAGCTCTCATTCTAGAGAATGTATATATCTTGGTTTAGCTTCATGTAACTAAATGCTTCTCGATGTTATCGTAAGTATCAGAACTATAAAATTATACTCCTTAGACAAATGGAGCAAAGAGACGTATGCAGAACGATTTTTAAATGAGAGAAGCATGCACAAACGTTTATTACAAACTAGGTCCCAAGTTCCCAAGAAGGAATAGATTAACATAATTATGAACGTATTCTAATATTCTAAGGTCCCAAGGAGTAAATTTGAACAGAGCCTTTTAATGTGTAGTAGAGCATGTTCATGAAACTTGAGGAATGAAAATTGTGAAATTTATAATTGTATTTTTATTTTTTCTATGTTCATGTATCATAATAAATGTTATTCAATGCAGCATGTATATGTCTGGTTTCACAAATATTTTCTTTTAAAATTTTAATGCAGCATATAAAACTTTTACAGCAAATTCAGATTTTTATATTACAAAATTTGACCTTGTAAATACAATTTGGCATTAAGAGGAATATATTAACTGATTCTTACTTAAAAAGTGATGTTGTATTAAATTAGTGTAAATATTGGATGTGTGAATAGATTCAAACAATATTAATAATAACAGAGAAAGCATATTTTTGTAGTGAAAATCAGAAAATATAAAAGTAACAAGTTAAAGAAAAAACTAAACGACCTTAGTTGAAGAGCTATAATAATATTATGTAAAAATCTCGATATATGAAGAATTTTAAATTTCTTGGTTGATTTATCAAAGTTCGTATTGGTATGACTGTATCTAAACATATTTTTAGATAATTTTGGGTGTTAATGGTTACAGCGGTCGGGATGGACAAATTTATCAACGGTTTGGTCCACTATATTTTTAGGACGGATAATAAACTCTGGCGGTCCAACTCGATTTGTATATAAAAACGGTTCGCACTTGGTCCACATCGATTTTTTTATGGTTTTTTTGAGATTGCATCATTACGAACACAATTAGTGAATGATAAATAAAAAGTGGTTTGGTTCGTAGATGGTTTTGTCAAATCAAATTAGTGTAACCATTCACACCGATTAGATTTTTAAAAGTTAAAAATAAGTTCATTTAAAAAAAATGAAATCGACTAAACTAATGATGAGTATTAAATTGAAAACAATTACATAAAACGAAAAACATGAGAATTAAAGTAGTAACATCAGCATGATTTGTCGTAATAAAGCAATTATTTACAACTGCAGAAAGAAGACAAAGCCTGTGGATTAATAATGATAGAAACATAGAAAAGACTAATGATAGAAAGGTCAAACGTTAATAGTAGTTGTTGTACGTAGACTAGGCCAAAGCATAACAAGTTGACGAACTCATTATTTCTCAAACAAAAAACACCCATTTAGTTTTTGGATTTTCAGAAGCATTTGCATTGCATCCATTTATTTATTTATTCTTCTTTAAAAACAAAAAAAAAATTGTTTATTTTGCAAGTTTGTAGAAATACTTTTGCAAATATTAGTAATATTACTAACATTTTATTTATTTTAACTTAAGCAAAAAAAATGACTAACATTTCTTTCATTTAGTAATTAGAAGGTTGTTTGTAGAAATATTTAGCAAATGTTTTAACAGTTAATACTTTCTGAAAGACACATTACTAACATTTTTCTATAAACATTAAAATCTCTTTAGTAATTATAAGATAGTTTATAGAAAAATGTTAGTAATGTGTTTTTTTTTTTACTTTCTACTCGTTACAATATTTTTTTCTTAATGTTTATTGTTATATATCATTTGGTGATTTTTATATAACTTTTATATGATATATAATTGTAAGTAAAAAAGAGATTATTCTATTTAATATAAAATTTATAGATTAGAATGCTAATATATATCTGTAATTCAACCAAAAAAAAAAATTGAATCATAAGTGTTCAATAAGAACTCATTTTAGAAATGGCAAACAATGACTAGTGAAAATTCATTAGTAAAATTGGGAAACAAAAGACTAATGTTATTAAAAAAAATGTTGAGTAAATTTGGTTATATATATTCAACCTAATTATATACAAATACTATAATATTTATAAATATTTATCTAAACCTAAATAATTTATTTGCATCAGTGAAAAAACCCCATTCCGTTGAAATATGTGTTTTGTTTTTTAACTGTTTTCTCAATACCAAAGGCTGCAAAAGAACAGTCCCCAAAATTTATTATCCTTCATGAACAGTATCAGTAATTTTGACCTAACCCCCACCTGTCTTCTCTGTCAAATTACTACAAAACTATAATTTTTTAAAAAGATGTAAGAAGATAAGAATATTATAAGCATGTAAAAAGTAAAAAAAGAGAAGAAGAAGAAGAAATAGACAAAAGATACTAATAAATAAAAATAGGATTGCTTGGAGTCGTGGCAATGTAGTTTGCACACTGCACAGAGCACAAAGTTTCATAACAGAGGTAATGTTTTTGCAGCTGCTTGCTGCATTGTGTTGTTGTTGTGGCCCTTTCCCATTCCCTAAAGCTCCTTTTCTTAACTCTTTTGTCTCTCTTCATCCTTTCTTTTTCACCTTTTTTCATTTCTTTCTTTTTAAAACAATAATAAAAAGACCATTTTATTTCAAATTCCATATTCTCATAAATGGTCTCTAATAAAAGACCATTTTATTTTAATAATCCAAGAAAAAAAATTCCCAACTCAAAAGATAGTAATAAATGGAATGAGTCAGCTCTAGAATCCATACAATATTGGTCAAATTTTATTAGTAAAAGTTACGTTACGTTTTCTTTGTTTGTCAACCATAGAAATAATTTTTTTTTAAGTAAAAAAGTTACCTTCATGTAAATACAAAGTTTAAAGCCAAAACCCACAAAAAAAAAACTTATAAACACTGTATAAAAAGACATTAAAAAACAGTAAAATTTAGTTGAAAAAAAAAAAAAAAAAAGTAGTAGTAGTAGTAGAAGAAAGAAGAGTAGCTAAAAACCCAACTCTATTGTTTCATTATTAGTTTTACACACATTATTGATTATTCACTTACCCTACTAGATTTTTTTTTTAAAATCACAACACTCTTCTCTTCTCTCAGAGAGACCACACAACACAACAGAGTTCAGTCCCCCATCTCTCTCTCTTTAACCCCTTCCCCTACAAGTAGACTTTAAGACAACTTTTGTCTCAGTGTTGAGTTAATGTAATATACCCATCTGGTCATTTACTCTCTCTCATTCTCTCTCTCTCTATCTCTCTCTCTTTCTCTATTTAGATCACTTCAAGAACCAGAGAGATCCAAACAAAACATACATCATCAATCACTAGTACTACAATGGACTACGTAAGCTTGCTCCTTCTTCTTCTTCTTCATCTTCTTGTGGGTTTTTACAAAGTTTTTAACTTTCTTTTGTGTTTTCAATCAGGAATACGGAGGAGGAGAGTACTGCAAGAGAGGTCACGTGCCTGCTTTTGGAAGCTGGGACTGGAACGACGCCGTTCCTTTCACTCAGTGTTTTGAGACAGCGACTACTACTACTACTACAGCAACACAACAGCCACCTCCTCAAGCTTTTCTCCACTACGCTCCTTACTCTCATCATCAAGATCGTGATCTTTACCTAGCTGGTGATCTCTACGACAACCACCACCTTGTAGCTCCTGCTGTTATCCTCCTCCCTCGTCGCCGTGTACGTTCTTGATTTTCTTGATTCCCTTTTCAAGATTCAAGAACTACTTTCTTGATCTTGATCTAGTCTTATGTTTTTCCCGGTTAATGTTTTCAGGCTAAGGTTGGTCAAGAACCGGCGGAGAAGAAGAGAAACGTCTCAAAGGAACAACACAACTACAAGACGGAGGCGCGTGAGGCAAACGCGCCGGTTAACGTGAAACGGAGGATGAAAACACCTAAGCCTGTTGATGAAGACTTGTACAAAGTCTCACCACAACTTCTCTCTGTCAAATCCAAAAGGGTAATTAATAAAAACTTAAGTTTAATCTTTTTTATTAATTTTGGTTTTAACTTTATGGATTAAGGGTTTTGAGATAATTTTTTACAAATAATTTGCAGAAAAGAGGATTTGGGTGCATTTCAAGGTGTTTTTTGCCAACACGGGTGCTTTGAACTTTGAAGAAACAACAAAGCGTGAGAGACTGGAGTCAGAACAACAACAACACTTTGTTTTTTCTTCTTTCTTCTTTTCTCTAATAGTATTATCAAAAAAGACTATGTTTGTGGAGTTATTATGTATGTATTTTATTTAAGCCTAGGAAAAAAAAAGGAAGATGAATTCTAAAATATGATAGTAGAGCAATGTAGCTTTTGAGCCATATTGTATTAATTAAGATTATATAAAGGGTTAGTTAAAACTATAGCTATGGTAGACTTCAAAATTAAAAGTTGGGTATCACTAATTTGAAAATTAGTTTTCTCACATGATGTCAGGAAAAAAGACAAAAGTAACCCTATACAGTTTTAGATGGTTAAATGAAATGATTATGCTTTCTATCTGTATTGGCAAAGACACGACAACTCTAACATTAAATGATGTCAACGATATCTTCGAACATATTGGATATCATTATGTTTAGTCGATATCATTATGTTTAGTCGATAACTCCAGATAACAATTAGTATGTATACTAAGGTAACAAGTCTAATCTTATAAATTAAAAAATTGATAGTAAATACTACAAGGTACTCACTAACTACACACTTGACCTTCTATAATAGTATGTAGACATAAACATAACATTATGGATAGTAGATAACAAAAGCATTAGAGGATTATATATTTATTATTAGGTAAAAGATGCGAGTTATGTGATCATGATCATGATTATTAGAGGATTGGCGCTAGTGACATCTTTTAATGAGAAATGCAATGTAACTGAACGTACTTTAAGTCCTAGTTATGGCTAATTTTATATTGTAAAAATTATCTTAAGTTGATAATTTTTACAACTAATAACTATTAATGTCGATTAGCTTCCGGTTTGATAATTCTTATGTTATACCGGTAACTAATAGAGTGAGAAGAAATCCTGTAAGTGTTATGTTATACCAGTAACTAGTATAATAATAACATAGAATTATTCTGTGATAAAATTAGATTTTATTCTATTAAATCATGTACTATATATATTACAAAATCTAAACCCTAACAACTATTTTGTCAACCCTAACAACTATTTTGTCAACCCAAACCGAAATATAATTTCATTTAATTACAAAATTTAAACCCTAACCACTATTTTATCAACCCAAACCAAAATATCATTTCGTTGAGTTACAAAATCTAAACCCTAACCACTATTTTGTCAACCCAAACTGAAAAATAATTTTATTTAATTACAAAATCTAAAACGTAACCACTATTTTGTCAACCCAAACCAAAATTATAATTTCGTTTAATTACAAAAACTAAACCCTAACCACTATTTTGTCAACCCTAACCACTATTTTGTCAACCCAAACCAAAATATAATTTTGTTTAATTACAAAATCTAAACCCTAACCACTATTTCATAAACACAAATGTTATAAAATCTAAAGCCTAACCACTGTATTATAAACTCAAACCGATATATATTTCCATGAATTCGATAACACTGTTCATCAGCATTAATTCGATAACATTTTTTTAAAACATGTTAAATAATATGTTATCGCGGTAAGTTACATATTATTCGTTAAATTGAGTATTTATATAAACCGGTAATATAAATATTTTATACAAGTACGTAAATATATATGTATGATAAAACTGTATAAAACAAATAAATAACAAAATAATAAGAA